TGGGGTAATATCAAGATGTTGACAAGGTTGCATACTTTTAGAGGCTCTAGGGACAATCTGTTTCTTTGCCCTTTCCAATGTTTAAAGGTCTGCTGCATTCCTTGGCTCATGGCCACTTTCTCCATCTTCAAAGTCAGAAGCATAATATCTTCAAATTTCTGCCTGACTCTCCTGCTCCCTTCTTTCACTTAAAGAGGAAGATAATCCAGGATAATTTTTCCCATCTCAAGAGTCATAATTTAGCAATCACAAATATCTTCAAATGAGTTTCTTTGCCTATATTCTCCTTCCACATAACTATTACTAGATGTGTCTTCCTAATGATTCATTTGTAAGCAAAAAATTTTAAAGGCCCCCTAATGTCTGTAAGAGAAAAGTCTAACTCTTTAGTATAATACATCTCCACTCCCCCAACTTCCATCTTAATAATATAAATCTGTCATGTCTGGTCACAAATCCAATTTCCTCTTATTTTGCCTTCCTTGACTATTCCAGCTTGGACTGATAAAAATTCAACATGCTTGAATTTCCACAACAGTCTTTTATAGAAGATTTTAGTAATTTATAAAATTTATAAAAATAACTTTAAAATGGCTTTATATAAATATATTCTTAGATGTTTTATGAACTAACTAAATTTTCTAAATATAAAATTCATGTTTGCATATCTTTGAATCCTTCATAAAATCCAATACCAATAGTGATTAACAAATATCTATTTGTGGGTGAATTTAAGGCTACACATTTTCCAGGTTTTTCCTTTTTCTTTTTTTTGAGGTGAGGTTGCCATGAGATTTCAGGTTTCCTAGTAAGCAGTGTGTATGTATTGTTTTTACTTTAGAAAAAACTTTTGCTGTGTCTTTATAACTTTGTGTTGGTTAGATTGATTGTCTCCATTTGAACAACTATGTTATTTCCATAAAGTAGTTTCAATTACTGTTGGACAGAGCCTGGCCTCCTCATTTCTACTTCTGTGCTATTCTCTAGCATCTCAGAATTTGACTCAATAGTTCTTATTTTATTTTTCAAAAATAAGTCTCCATACAACTACCTTAGCAACCACACAGACTATGATAATCATTTTTCTTTAAACTGGCCTCACTCTTTCATTTCTTGTTTGGCAGAAAAAAATCATCCTATATCTCATGGATCCAGTCTATTTTGTTTTTACAACAAAACCTAAAAGAACCCTTCTTTCCTTTACTACGCTGTCTTATATTCCCTATTCCTCTCTTTAGTTCACTCTCGTACAAAATAAGAAATGCAAAGTATTTATATTGTGTAAGTTTTGATTGTTAAATTTGGATTGTTTTAAAAATTGTCCCACATATCTCTGGGATTGACTCACTGTTAAACATCATGGAAAACCTAGTTCATTTGGCTGAACCCAGAAGTGGGATTTGGGAAATGATGATAATTTTAGCTCATCTATAAACCCAGATCAAGCATTTCATTTTTCTTTGCTTTTATTGTTCCAACCACAAAAGGTAAAATCCATTGTGCATAACTAGAAGGTCAATTTCAAAGATTAGAAAAGTTACCTTTATTTTGTAAATGTAATATTATATATAAAACTAAGTATAGTTTCCCAAACTACTGCAGGGGATTAGAGCCTTCAGATCTCTCTCCCAGGAGGCCCAGCAACAATTATATTCCCAGCTCCATTTTCCACACCAAATCACATATCATGTTTTTTTTTTTTTTTTTTTGAAGTGACATTGGCTTACATTATTGTTGGTATTTGGAAACATAGGATGCATCCCCCACTCAGTATTGCCAGCATAATATACCTGCCCCAAATCCCCCATAGTCCACCACCACAGATCATTGTTCTCACTTCCCTCCTTGTCCTCAGTGATATCTCTGAGAGAGTTTAATGTCTCAATAATATTAACAGTGGTACTGGTGATGAAAATCATAGTTACCATTTGTTGAGGCTTTGAGTATATCAGATTCTGAATCAAACTTTACAAAACTCCTGTGAGGTGATATGCCTATTTCCCTTGCAGAAAATGAACAAACAACTGAGGCTCAATTGGGATAAATAACTTGTTTGAAGTCACAGAACTGGTGAGGGCAAAATCCCCATTTCACTGACCCCCAGCTTGACTCCATAACCAACTTACTATGTCACTCCCAAGTGACCAAGGCACTGGGCACATGGCAGAGAACTGTGGAGTTTTCTCCTGTTTTATTGTGACAGTTTGACTCATTTACAGTTCACTAGTCTGATAGTCATGCTCAGTATGTTTTAAGAGAAAATACCTGCAGGTTTCAGCTTACTTAAAATTTGCTTTAAGTATATGAACGTATGTGTTTTTTTTTTTAAGATTTATTTATTTATTTATTTATTTGTTTGTTTGTTTATTTATTTATAAAAGCACTGGGTACAGTCAGAAGCGCGGGAGGGTGAGAGAATTCACCAGAGCCAGAGCGGGGAGCAGAGCAGGCAGACTGACGAAGTACACTGCTGAGGGGATCAGAGGGGGCCGCAGGAGAGGTCTCCACGCCATGTGGAACCCTCGCACTGCAGAGGCTGTGGGCAGCTTCGCAACCCAGTGCTCAACCGCTGCGCCACCTGGGAGGCCCTGTTCTTCATTGGTTTTATCTCCCTCCCTCCCTTCCCTCCTTCCCTCTCTCCCTCCCTTCATCCCTTTCAGTGGTTTTGGACTTAAACTCTAATACAAGAAGGATTTATTGAATTGCTATCTACTTCCATCACCTATCTATTAAGTCTCCATTCCATTGTGGCAATATTTGGAAACATTCAAGACAAACTTTTGGCTTTCTTGACATGTTATCTAAATAACAGCAATGCCTTCTATTTATTGGGCAGTTTGTTACTCATATCAGAACTTCTCTCTAGGCAATTGTTCCCCAAACTCATTGGTACCAATGTAAAGTCTAAAGCACTTTAGCAACATAGCAGGGGAACTCTCTTCTTTCCTTGATAGTCATGGAAACAGCTGACACAACTGCTCACAGTCTAGATCATCACCCAGAAGGTTCTGAGGTATTATGTATTCATTATATATTCATAAACCTTCTTTCTAGTAATATTAAGGTTTTGGACTCATCAGATTCTACCAACTCATTTATATTTGTCTGACAACTAAATACTGAACAGAGAAATGAATGAAACAAATAATAATCTTTAATTTCATGGAGTTTATCTAATGCATATATTCTAGCCATGTTCAACAATATTTACATACTTCTAGGGTTAAGTAGAATTTGTCTCTGGGCACACAACTCTGGGAATTTTATAATACAACTCTGCTTGAGATTTTAGGTTAATGATCAAACAAATATTTTTGGCTTGTTATGTTTTTGGTTTTATTACTTTAGATGTATTCCTCCTGATTTTTTCCCTTTGTCTTTTATTTTCTTCAATAACCTCAGTGTCCACTCATGAATTCTTTCCTCTTACCAAGCTTAAGAACTCTGGCAGCCTTCATTTTCTAAATGAGGAAATTAAGATTCAAAGAATTTAAATAACTTCCCCAAAGCTACACAGCTAGTCACTAGATCTGGGATTTTGATTCGTGTGTGTGTGTGTGTGTGTGTGTATGTGTGCATATAAAACCTCAAAAGGTGTATTACCAACCACAAATTTATCCTTGCACTTCTTAAAAAAATTCTTCTATGCATTTACCATTAATAGTTAATCATGTGAAATTTTAACTTCTCTGAAATAGTCTGGAACACCGGGCACCATCAAATCTCTGGTCTGTAAACATGTGAATGATAAAAGCACTATTGATAAAATGATAAAAGTAACTATTCCTGGTGCTCCTTTTATCTAATGATGGTTCTGATCCACTATAAAATTTAGTGTTCCTAATACCATTCAATTTCAAGAGAAAATCATCCATTGTCACTGGGAAATTTTTTGGACTTGTGTTTACTTCTTCATACTTTGTGCCATTCTCTTAAACTATGAGGTAGAAGCCTTGTTTTGTATATAAACCTGCAATTTTTGAATGACTGTGTATAATTACCACTCACTAAAGTGTCTGAGGAATTCCTCTTTTGTATATGTGAGATATCCACACTGCCCTTGTTTCAGGAATCATTGTGTAAACTTCCTCATCAAAAATAGATGAACAAAAGCATGACCTGTACTGATAGCTGTTCTGAACTTACAATTTATTCTAATACTACCTGAGTTGAGAGAAATGGGATTTGAAAGGGCCCTGTGAAAACAGAATAGATCCTTTTTGGAGAGATATATGGGATACAAGTAGCAGGAACCCTCCATGATTAGAAGTATGACACCCAAGCCCAATTAGAGAATCACAAAGAAATGACCATGGGAAGAATGTGGTGCAGTGGACAGGCAATACACAAGAAAAGGAGGGAGGGAGGAAAGGGGAAGAGGAAGATAGAGGGACAGGAATGTTACTTAATTTTTCTTGGCCTGAGTTTCCTAACTTACGATGTTGGGTCTATCATAATAGCAGAATAATCAGAATCTTGAAGAAAATTGTTTTGTATTTAACAGATCTTTATTGTATTTTTTCTATAATTTTTTTTACTTTTTTTATTAATTTGCCAGTCATAGTTACCCAAATATGAAAGCACTAATATGAAAAGATGTATATACTTCTATGTTCACAGCCCCACTATCCTTAATTGTCAAATCATATGAAAAAGATTCTTTTTTAAAAACGATTTATTTATTTATTCAAGAACCGGGGTATGGGGCAGATGTGCGGGAGGGTGAGAGGATTCACTCGAGACAGAGTGGGAACAGAACAGGCAGACTGACTGAAATACACTGCTGAGGGGAGCAGAGGGTGAGACAGGAAAGGTCTGCTGTGCCATGTGGGTATCTTGCCGGATGGCTGGGATCGAACCTACTGCAGAGGCTGCAGAGTCTGGACAGCTTCATAGCACTGCTCTCAACTGCCTGTGCCACCAGGGAGACCCTGAAAAAGATTCTATGGACCCACACTCATAGTTCTCAATTCAGAGATTCTGGTTTAGAAGGTCTGAGATTAGATTGAGAATCTCCATGCTTCAAGCAGTTGCCCAGGTGATTCTATGGTCACACAAAGAGACTGTGTGGTAACCACACACAATGTTCTATGCTTCAATGCTTAAGTGGACTTTTAGTGTGACCCCACTCAGCCTACTCCCCCACCCCCTTTAAAATCCCTGTCACAAGGAGGGGAGCGCCAACATCCCAGCTGCAAGTCTCTCATTTAAGGTTCTTGCTGCAGCCAGCAGTGTCCTTGGAGTCTAGTTCAAAGCTGTGAGAGTGAACCGTGGATCCGGGAGCCATTGGTGGAGGGGCTAGCCTAAAGGAAGTGAAGTGTTTCAGCCAGAATGTACTGACGCACGACTAGGAAACCACAAGACTGGTGAAAACCTTTCCAAGCCTGAGACCTATGATCAAAAGAGGTACAGGAAGCAGCTCTGCCAAGAGTCCTTTCTGCAGCTGGCTGGAACCCCAAACTTCTGGGGCTCTCTGCGTCAACTCCCTGAACAGATGCGGTCACCCAAGGAGCCATGGCTAAAGCATTTTCTTACCTTGCTCTGTGGTGACTCCGTTGGTGAGTGGGAGTTGCTGTCTCTTGTTCTCTTTCTCACTTTTTTCTTTTGGGAGAGGCTGCCCTCTGATTGCTTACTCTGATTTTTCAGGAGTCACAGATTACTGACCTTTTACACTTTGCCACTGCCTATTGTTTGGTGCTCAGGGCCTGTGTACAAGCAACATGTCCTCCAACTCTTAACAATACCGAGATTATGAAGTCAGCATATTTCAATCACCTGGACTTCAACGAAAATGACTTCCTTTATTGATTGAGTCATAACCATCTTCCCTTCTCCCAGGCTAATCTTTCTTTTGTTCCTTGTGAGAATAGACTCAACCAGGAATTGTATTCAGATCCCTGTAACAAATACAGATCATGTCTGGATATATAAGGTCAAAATAATTGTGTTCTTGTGAATTCTCTTTCCTTGGCCAGAGTAACTGCCAGCTGCCATGTAATAAATCACATCATCATATTGCAGATCCAGTAAATAGCTGAGACTAGCAGGATAACTGAACTATGTCTTGAGAGCTAAGTGACAGAGAAATTGGACAGACTATGGGGCACTTTAAATTGATTACTAAGTAATGGGGTATTTTTCCTGGAGAGACAACAGAATCATTCTGAAATATTGATTCTGTCATGGGTACAGTCTCCCATGTAGAGGAAAATAAGCAAATGTGATGAATTTTGCACTTGGCTTTCTGCCTGCTTTCTTCCCATTTTGCCTTGCATGGTGTGCTTCCATTTTTATTCTTTAAACCCTGATTAGATGACCCAGAAATATTTCTCATGTAGCATAAAATCCACAATCTTAATCTGCTTGTTACCAATCAGCAAGTTTGAGCTGGCCAATAGCTTTTTTGGATACAATGTTGTGAGTTTTTACTTAGGTTTCAATCAGTTTAGGAGACATGAAAAATTCATGGAGGGGGAGTCCTTATACCCTCCACAAAGATTTCAGAGGTCAAGATCTGGGAGACTATAAAGACAAACTACACCATGGCAATCAAGTATTTTCTGAATTACTCCTCTGCTGGTACTGTTATGTAAAGTGGAGACATTGCAAACACATTGTGCTTCACTGCATTTTGAGAAAAGCCTTTTTTGGGGAAATGCTAACTTTGTACACTGCTGACACCAAACATTTGAAAATAAAACCATTTTCCCCTCTCTTTTTCCTACACTTTTGGCTCAGTTTATTCTACCAAAACACACTTCAAAAGACTTCTTTATAGAAAGAATGTTTCAAAAATATAATATTTCCATCTGTTATTTCAATAATACATGCTCTGGGACTCTCTTTATGAACCATTTTCTTTTCTTTGCTCCCATTTAGATGTATAAATATGTGATTCAAAAACCCTGAGGAATAGTCAGTCAATTGGGTCGTCAAATTGTGAACATTCCTAACCCTGTAATTTTGTCTGTAGTGGGCACCTCCTGCTGTGGAACTAACTGCTAAGGGATTATAGCAATGTAATCCTTAGACTGTTCCATCTCAACGTTACTATGAAGTGGAGAGAAGGAAACAGTTTTAATTTTGATAAAATAAACTTTATTTTGTAACTTTATTATTTGTTTTTCTTTCTCCTTTCAACACTTCATAATAGACGTCTCTGGTAATTTGAAGTCAGCCTCCCTGGTTGAGGTGCCCTAGGCCACCCCATATTCTTGTAGCTTTTTTAAGAGGTAGTCACACAATGTTTGGTCCTGTCATTTTAAAGTGCAGAACCTGATTTTTTTCATCCTCACATGAAACAAAACAAGTCATATAGTGACTCTTATTAAACACACTCAAATCGTTCTTTCCCAATGGGTGGCAACAAAAGACTCATGGACATTGTTCTGCCACCCATATGCATTGGAAATGTCAAGCCATGTGCAAAATTTTAAGTTACTTAAATGTGTTAGCCTTTGCTCCCTAAACCTCGATTTCAGCAATTATTAAAGCATGAATTTCATGGGAAACCTCTCTTTCATATAAACTCGAATATGTTGCTCAGAATAAAAAATCTTTATGGGTGAAATTTAATATAGTTTGAATCAAGCTCAAAGGGATCCCTTGTTGTGTGGGGAGAATAGAATAAAAAATCTTTATATAAAATTTTATGGTTGGATGAGTAGAGAAAAATATTTTTCAAGATAAAAAATATTTTCCTGTTTCTTCTTTAAAAAGATTTAGATACAGACTTAAAGCTAACTATTAAAATGTATTAGCCAAATATTTCTGGAGACAATGGGACAAAGGTGGAACAGAACTGTAAGAATGTCTACAACATTAACCAAGAATTTGTGCTTTTAGAAACTTACTTGGGAAATAATGAGGCAAACATGACAGAAAAGTATATATTCCAAGATATTTATCATTACATTATTTAAAAGAGTGAAAGAATTTAAATTGGAAAGAAAAAACCCGTTGGCAGTCTGAGTAAGATATCGCAAATGTTTAATGTTGCTTTAAATATATATTTTCCTAAGTTTTAATTTGAATCTTGATATTCTTTAGTGTTAAGGAGGTAAACTATATTTTAAAAATATATGCATATATTTTACATCATTGTTCATTTTTGTACAATGTTTGCTTTCTTCTCTCAGGTGTAGTCCCCATGAAAGTCCCACATCAATTCACCCCTGAATCATCACCATAGTCCCTGTGTTCTTCCCACTTGCTGTTTTGATCCTTCTCCTGCTCCCTCCCCTGCTAGTTTTTATACTTACCTGCTAGTTTCTATCATTATTATTATTTTTTCCTTGGTCCTTTATTTGATTCCCCTATATTCCTCCTATAAGTGAAACTATCCAATATTTTTCTTTTTACTTCTGACTTATTTCACTGAACATAATCCCTCCCAGCTCCCTCCATGTTGTGGCAAATGGCATGAGTTTATCTTTTTAGATTGCTTAATAGTATTCCATTGTGTATATATACCACATCTTCTTGATCCAGTCATCTATTTGAGTCGTTTCCATATCTTACCTATTGTAAATAGTGTAGCAATAAACATAGGGGTGCAGGTATCATTTTGAATTAATGTTTTTGTGTCCTTTGGGTATATCCCTAGCAGTGGAACTGCTGGGTCATATGGTATCTCCATTTTCAGTAGTTTGAGGGTCCTTTACAAACTTTTTCATGGGGGTTGGATCAGTTTGCATTCCAGTCTGCAGTAGGAGGGTTCCTTTTTCTCCACATCCTCACCAGCATTTGTTGTTGCCAGGTTTTTTTTTTTTTTATATGTACCATTCTTACTGGTATAAGGTGGTATACCATTGAGGTTTTGATTTGCATTTCCCAGATTGTAAGTGATGAACATTTTTTCATATACCTTTTGACTATTTTCATTTCCTGTTTGGAGAAGTGTCTTTTATGCTCTTCTGCCCATTTTTTTTGACTGGACTGAGGTAAACAATATTTTTTTTAAAGATTTATTTATTTATTTATTTATTTATTTATTTATTTATTTATTTATTTATTTATTTATTTATACGAGAACCAGGGTACAGGCAAGATGCGCGGGAGGGTGAGAGGCTTCACCAGAGGCAGAGCGGGGAACAGAACAGGCAGACTGACGAAATACACTGCTGAGGGGAGCAGCGAGCAAGACAGGAGAGGTCTGCCGCACCATGTGGGACCCTTGCCACCCAGCTGGGATTGAACCGGTGCTGCCAAGGCTGCGGACAGCTTCACAGCGCTGCGCTTTCTCCGCCACCATGTTGATCCCATAAAATATATGCATGTTGAGCACAAAGGGGCTCCTAGGAGTTGTGGTGATTTCTTATTTTTCTCTTGAGTCCCCACTATGTGAGCAAGTTTATTTTGAGAATATTCATTAAGTTGTACAATGATGATTCATACACACTTCCATAAAGGGAGGAGAAAAGTCCTCTAGAAGGAGTTTTGTTCCCATTACGGAAAAAATACATCTTTTTTTCCCTGTGAAGGAATGAGAAAGAAGTAAAGAAATAGCTCATTTGAAATTAAATTTCTTAAAAGGGATTTTTAATAATTTGGGTCCTATTTCATGGAATTCTAGGGTTTTTTTAAAAATCAAAACCTAAGAATTACAACCTTTTGGAATCTTTCTATAATTAGTATTTAATCATGTCTTTTGATTCTTGAGAACTTTGGGCATATACAGTTTTCTTATATGGGAGAGTGTACTCATTAATCTAGACTAATGAAGAAAAATATGGCCATTTATGCATGGCCCACTGTAGACTGTGATTTAGAGCACTAGAGAGTCCCAAGGATGGATCATTTTTTGATAAATGGGATGGTTATTTAACACTTCATCTGTCTCATGATACACAGGCCCAGAGGGAAAAGATGCAGGTGGTGGGTAGACATTAAACTTTTTAACAAACTAACAAAGTGGAAAATGGAATAAAAGCTTTCAGAGATACTGGATTACTATGAGAATGAAGGGGGCTAGAGAGATAAACCTCTGGAAGGAGACCCCAAAGGGGGAAGACTGAAACCTAGAATATTCCATCTTTAGAAGATCCATTTAGATGAGAGTGATTCTATAACAGACCAGTTTTTCCTACCTTTTGGTTTTGAACATGCATGTAAAAGTTGAGAAAATATCTTAGCTGAAAAACTGCTATATATAGCATGGTTAAGGAGGGAATGATTTAGTCTGAATTAGAGATTTCTATCCAAGCCAAGAGAAAAGTAACCATTAAGGGTATCTATACCCTAACTTCTCTAAGTCAGAAACTGAATCACCAATGAAATGCAAGACTGAATGTCTCTATTGTTTCTTCAGTGACATTTGTTTATCCTAAAAACTAACATGGTCAAATGCCTACTTCTCAGATTATAATAATGCACCATAAATGTCTTAATGTTTTCAATGATTGCTTCCAATCATTTTGGCATGGTTTTTGTCTTTGCAAAAAAGAAATTCTACAATAGTAGAACTATTCTATTTTCAAGTAATTTATGCTTTCTATAGAATCTTTTTTGTGATGGTGGCAAAAAATTATTTCAGGAAATGAGAACACAGAACTAAGTTGCCTTTGGATTGACCTTTATGCTTTTGTCTCCAGTAGATGAAATCAATGAGATAACTCAAAGATGCTTTCATGGTACTTGTTTCCTTAGCACTCTTCATGTGACTCATGTGTCACATCTAAAGAACTTCTAGCCACCTCAAGGTAATGAAGTGTATTTCTTTTTTTTTAATTGAACTACCATTATTTTACATCCTTTTATTTTTTATTTTCATAATGAGGTCTATTTCTTTACATAACTATTTTGATAACAATTGTAAGAAATCACTTAGAGAATTACCCCATCTTCTTTGTTGATTGACTTGAACTCTAGGAGTTCCTAGATAACCTACAAATCCACTTGGTTCATAGAATCTTGGAAAGTTTTATAATCCTCAAGTTGGAGGTGACATCCTGGAAGTGATCAATGAAAGCAATTTACCCAGTCTGGCTCAAAAGAGGACATTATGTAAATTGATATGATTCTTTCATTTCAACAATTTCACTTTTTCTCCCAATTTGGACTCTGTCTCTCTTTTTTTATATTTTGGTAGCTCTTTTTTAAAAATTTATTTATTATTATTATTTTTAAAATTTTATATATTTTTTACATCATTTTTCTTTTTTTTTAAATTTTTTTTAAAGGTCAACAAAAGGTTTATTTACAAGGAAAGGGGAATGAGGAAATGTACAACTC